CAGGTTAAGTACCTTATGCGTATCAATAGCATCGTAGACAAAAGACTTCTTATTTCCTTGAGATCCAAGCTCTGACTACTTACACCTATGGTCATAGGAATGGTATCTAATGCCCTGACTTTAGAAGTGCACTCATGATAAAAGCCTGCGATTCTGATCAAGTTTACTATCACTAACTAAAACAAATAACCATTAAAGGTGGGTTCAGTTCCAATTCTTGACCAAATAAATTTCTCTGTGGTCATTCTTAGTCTCCCAAACTGTCTCCTCTCCATAGGTGCGCTGATCAGGGACGACTAGGCGTCAAAACTGGTTGATGTTTATAGGGTAAAACGCAGGGTTGCGACTATTGAAGGGTGGTGATGTGTATGGTCATTTACACTTAGTATCTTCAATTGAATGGTTGTGACTACTCAGAGGGCTTAGAATATACCTGAGTGATTATGTAAATAAATGTTACTGGATGCGAATGATATCTTATTGGGTTATGTTAAGTTACAGGATATCTACATGATAATTAACCAATCCCACAAACTTACAGATAGCGCCGTAGCTAGTCTCTTTTAGGTGTGATCTACAGGTGAGTGTAGCGATCGGTGGTATCTAATATATCACTAAACTGTTTCCATTTCCCTGGCTCTGCATGCTACACTACGTGAACGACGTTTTACTACCAATGTGAAAAGCGCATTCATGACAGCAACTACATCTTTGTAACTCCTGGCCGCTGGAATCTCTGCATCCAGGACCTCTCTACTTCGGGTATTATCCTTCTCTGGAAAAGTCACGTCATTCATCCTCCGAACGAACACCCAAGCAGATTATCGATTTCTTTGCATTAATCCGCCCACGCAAGTGCAAAGCTCTGATGCGACCACTATGTCAGTTTAACGGTTGCTATGGTTCTTTCCTTTTCGATTTGTTAGAGATCTCACCTCGTAGGATCCTGGCCGGAATGTTTTAAAGTGATGAATCAAGTAAGAACATAGTTGCTTGTCTACCGTTTAACCCGAATGATAATGGCGGGAGGGGTGATATATCAGGCGAATTTCGATACTATTCGTGAGACGGAACATAAAATACTCCAATATAACTCAAATTCAACGTCCACATTCCGTCTCATGACTTACTACCAACCTGCCTTGGTAAAAGTCTACTGCTGACAAGTCCATCTCTCACTTGTGGCCCCCCCATGTACTGACAGCTAGTGCTCGCAATCCGAATATGCGCTGCTGCATTGCCATCATCACTTACAATGACTCAATTTGGTGCTCATGAGTCTGAAGCTCAGTGAGGACAGCAGTTATATCCATGGTCAGCTTACGACATGCATCTGTGCCTTTCGGAGCCGAGCTAGTCATTGACTTGCCATATCAAAACACTCCACCAGACGATCATTATTGTCACCGTCTTGGCACGAGCCCCATTGTGGGCTATTCGGGTGGAACAGTTGAGTCAACTTTTGTTGCTGAGTTTGTCAACTTTTTACTCGTTCCTATGTGTGCTACGGAGATTTCTCAGGTGGAAGTTCATGCGATATTCTCAATATTGGAATTTTGACTGCATTTATCTCCCCTTCCATCCATTGCAACATGTTCCATTCATGGGCATCCGATACTTCTGAAGCGTCATCTTCATCTAACTCATCTATGCTTGGTCTAGTTGGCTTGTGAACAGCCCTTACCCCAACGAGACTGTGGATTACGTTTTCTGAGTATCATTTTGCGGTAAGTGTCGTACGGAGGTCAGTTGTTCACATAGGGAGACTGACGGCTGGGATTAAAATTATTGGAGCAGGATTGGTAGACATAGTTGACGATATGGTGATGTGATTATACGCCAATGTTATCTCATTTTCTATCTATCCATATGGAAGCCACTGGGATCATCACAAATTCAGGTTAAGGTTGTGAGGTAAGTGGAAACATAGTGACAACTATGTTTCCACTCACCTCATAACGTTAACATTAACGGGGTCAAGGGAGTTCCTTGTCAGAATCCCAAAGACATCCTGAACAACGCAAAGTACAAAGATTAATCAATAACGCCTAAATGTGATATATTTCTGGACCTATCAAATATAATTAATGTCATTAATATATCTGGGATGACTCTTGTAGCCCCAGAGACACTTAAATTAGTTATAGAATGGCTTAGGTTTTGTATCATCTATACTTGTAGTTCCTGCGCGCAACTCCCTTCTTTTTGTTATATTAAAGGTCATGTAGCTATTTGATTGTAACGCGCGACCAGCATAGTTAACAGATGTTGGATGACTCTTTTAGCTTTAGAGAAACTCATATCTGGCTTCTATTCGTTTACATACAACGGCCAACTTTCCTCCTTAAGTATCCAGCCAAGGTAGGTTTTAAAACCTTCGCTTGTCCATGTACACTGGTACCGCGAGAAATATGGTCGGGATTTGCTGGATGCGAAATATCCAACTCCTGCCTCAGGTGGGAGAAGTACTCGATGTATCAAGACTCTACCGGAAAGACCAGTCCTGACGATATACTACTGTAGCGACTAAACATGACTTTATATAAGGTATCGCCAGTATCCTAACTACATTGGTCGTTGCAGAAGTAAGGCTCCCTCGCGAAAAATTTCTTGATATCAGCCGTCATGAGAGAATGGGAAAAGTATAGAGCGCTTGGGCAAGGAATCAAAGGCTTACTTTTGCTTTAAATATGTAAATCTTCTAGTAGTTTTTAGCCTGTAACAGTGGTAGTTTGATGTCCCATTAGGTCTAGAGATTTAACTCCACAGCTACCGTCATTGAAGTCGAATCATGTCCCATAGTATCATAGACTGAGATTGTCTAATAACTAAGTGTTTAAAAGGTTTATATAAGCCATTTTGTGCTTGCATTCGTTGTTACTGATTCCAAAAATGGATCTATAGTTGATGTTTTCAGATTCCGGATTATCAGTGATGCTCAAGGGTATCTAATAAGGGATAGCTAAGCATAGTGTTACTTTCATGGAATTGTCGCACAACTAGACTATTGCTCTTGCTTGTACTCTGCCATGCTCTTTGACGATCCAAGAGATATCTGTAGGAAGCTCTCATATAATTTTGCAGCTTCTGTACAAAGTGATTCTTTTATGATCATGCATGTGGAACCACTATATACTACCTGATAGGAATTGGGAAGTTGTGGGAGGTCAAATTATTTTGACACTCAGATACACACAACATATATGGATCCACAGCCTACCAAACATTCGCAAGCTCTGTAATATTGACGAAGTTTAGAGACTAAAGTCGCTTTGCGGCAAAAGTATTCCATTTTTACGCTCAGAAATAGCGCTTGGAAAACTACTGAGAATGAGCTTCTATACGACAGATCTCGTCACATGCTGACAACCTCTAAACCTCCCCATTTTGCGATCCCAAATTGTTACAACTTGGGCATCTTATTTATGCGCTGCTGGGTTGCTGTCGACTTTGAATATCTAGGTCTGTCTTTAAACTTAGATGACATTGATGAGCTTGTACTAGCTCTTTTTTGAATTTGATTTCATTTAGCCCGATTTGGCGCCCTATGGACCCATGCAGGTGTCTACGGACTCTAATATTTATATAAGAGGAAACCTTGCGGTAAAAACCCCCTTAGCTGTCTGACTTGACTCTGCGCGATTGTAGTCTTACCTCTAGGAAGTGCACTCACACTGTTGTTGCCAGTGTGGATTCCGTCCTTGTCCTGTGTTTCTATCTTCCTCTCTTCGCCTGATTAACGCCTCGATTTCCCCGGTCATCCGCAACTGCTCTGGCCGTCCTTCCTTTTGAATCCACTGTGCAATTCTTGTCATATCTTTGAAGTTATTTACCATAGCTTCGAAAGATCGATTTGTCGATTTTCGTAGCAACTCACCTCTTCCCTTTGCCCATTTTGGACAAGACATCACCATGTGCTTTATGTTTTGGGACGGATATCCACATTGGCAGCATGGTTTTCCTACTCCTGGCACGTTTCTTCTGTATAAGTAAGCATTGAGCCCAATGTGCTCGCTTCTTACTTGTGTGGCAATGCTACTCTCGGCCCTGCTAAGGTTTTGGTGGATTAGGATGGGTGACTCTCTATAGTTCATCATGGGTCTACCTGCTTTCTTGTCGTTGTATAAGTTTGCAGCATTCCACACTAGCTCTTTTTTATGTTTTTACAAAATTTACATTGTGATTATCCAAATTTGAACGAATGACAGTGGTTGATTAGTGAAAATCGAAGATGGATCACTACTTTGTAGTTTTTCGTGAATATGTTTTGTTTCTTCAGTTTAAGGAGTACCAGATATCCTGGCAGTTCCAGCATAGTTTTTGATATCATTTCTTTTATCCTTATTTAAGGCTGACCAACTACCTAACTGGTATATTTACATTCAAGGTCTACGAGTTAATCGTTAATTGAAGTACTGCCTTATTTTATTTTTGTGCAGGGATTTATCTTTACTTATTAGCAAAGTTTTGGACTGAACAGTTACAAGACATTTTGAATTTTTATTTTGATACAAAAAAGATATGGAATCTAAAATCGCTCAATTCCCTTAACAATTGGGTGTTGTAAGCTACTCTCCATATCAAAATTATTCAAATATATCCCATAGTTTAAGGAATCAGTATTTCTAGCTTTTGTTTTGTTTCAAACACAGTAGTTTAAAAGCACAGTATGTTTGTGAGGATTCCGTTGGGTTGCTTGAACTTTCTGGCCTTTTCTATTCTTAAAAATAAAAGTTGCAGAGATATAGTTATTTTGAGATGAGTCCGGTAATTGATAGACTAAATAGAAGATTAAAACAGTTGCATCAAAGAGAAATGATGAAGATATCTGTAGAAGATTATTGTGATGGAATTTGGATGTTTCTACGCGCGCTTTACGCTCTATTGACTGTTGTACAGAGAAGGTTATTCATATAAACTAAAGATTTAGCTGAATCCGTCAAGTAGATTTCTAGGTTCTCATGAGGCACAAATAAGTTGAATAAAGATTGATCCTTCCTTCACTCTTCTTGAGCAAACTCTTTACGTCCTTCCTTGGAATTTAGATATTCATTTCTTATCGTAGATGTTAGCAGTTTCCAGATGATTCGGAAGGCGTGTTGATCAAACCTCTCGATAGCCCATTGCATAGTACAATATGCTGCAATTAGAGGAGGCGCAACGTATAGAACTTGACCACTAAACCGTCTCCAGGTGTTAAAAATTGCTGCATGGAGAGCACCAGCAAAGGGCCGCTGTCTATTTGCACTAAGGGCGTATGAGGCTACCCCCTTTTGTTTCTGAAGACCTGAACGGGTCACGTTAGTATTTTGCCTTAATCATCTTTTCATTAAATCTATGAGTCGATTGATAGAGTTGAACTTTCTTCTCTGTCTTAGGATACCAAAAATCTTTTCATATCGGATTATCGTAATTTAGCGTGAATGGGTTTTTGAGACTGGAAGATAGAAGGCCTGCATGACCATAAGGGAATCCTCGACAGACGCACCAAAATTTCCCCAATTTCCAATGTATCTGCGGAGACCAATGGTTAGTCGTGTTTGTTTTAGGCCCTATTTAGAATTCTCAAATAATGTCCAGGAGAATGAGTTTTCGAGAGCGCTCTGCGTCGGCATAGATCAATTTCAAGTACTCACTTTCCATGTTTCCCAACCTCCACGTCTCCACCTGCTCGCATGATCGAAGATATTTTCATTGTGAAAGATGGTTAATCAATCAAAAGCCACTGGGTTACTCGCGGTGTTAGTTATCCAATATATTTGTCGCTGTCATTAAAGGCCCATGTTACTAATGACAGCCTAGCGCCAAATTGCCAAATTGTGCTCCGCGAATAGCAAGGCTAGCAGCAAGTCAACTGCACATAAACACCAACCCAGCATTAAAATATTCAACATGTCAAATCTCCTTCAATCAATCTCTAAATACGCCGTACCGGTTGGAATCGCCGCTTCATTCGCTCAGGCTTCCATCTATGATGTGAAAGGGGGCTCTCGTGCGGTAATTTTTGATCGAATTTCAGGTGTCAAAGATACTGTTATAAGTGAAGGGACGCACTTCTTAATACCATGGTTACAGAAGAGCATAATTTATGATATACGCACAAAACCTCGCAATATTTCGACTACAACAGGGAGTAAGGATTTACAAATGGTCAGTTTGACTCTCAGAGTTCTACACAGACCTGAAATAGAAAAGCTACCCAAAATCTACCAGGTTAGCGCTCTAGCCCAAAGTTAGGAATATTAATTCACGCATCGGATACAGAACCTTGGACAGGATTACGATGAGCGAGTCCTACCTTCAATTGGAAACGAGGTTTTGAAGGCTATTGTCGCCCAATTCGATGCTGCCGAACTTATAACCCAACGAGAAGCAGTTAGTAATAGGATTAGATCCGACTTGCTCAAGAGAGCTCAAGAGTTCAATATAGCCCTAGAAGATGTTTCGATTACACACATGACTTTTGGAAAAGAATTCACTAAAGCTGTTGAGCAAAAACAAATCGCTCAACAGGATGCCGAAAGAGCACGATTCATAGTCGAGAAGGCAGAACAAGAGCGTCAAGCAAATGTAATTCGTGCTGAAGGAGAAGCTGAATCAGCTGAAACAATTTCAAAAGCTGTAGCAAAAGCAGGTGATGGATTGATAATGATCAGAAGGATTGAGGCCAGCAGGGAAATTGCACAGACTCTTGCTGGAAATCCAAACGTTACTTACCTTCCGGGCAGTAGTGAGCCAGGAAAGGATGGAGGAAAATTTTTGCTAGGATTAAGATAAGTGACTCATGCGATGACTGGAAAAAGAATCACCACACAGATTCCCTGCAACTAATTATTTAATATTAAGTATCAATAGTGATTAAGGTACTCCAAATTTCTACTCTACGATAAATTATGATTGAAAATCACTATATCCTGTGAATAAGTCTCAAGGTATAAACACCAGGGTTTTTTTCAATAACCATACTTTAATTTACTTCAACTTACCAATAACCGGACTAATAGAATCTATAATCCCAGCAAATTTTCTATTCTAGTAAGAGAGGAGCCACTGTGATCAAGCTTCTAGGTCTAGTAATGTTGACTGTCTATGCAATTCAAACAATTGTGGTTCAACTAAGACTGTTTATACTACCGTGCTCTGGACTTTGAACAGGTGTTTATTTGATAGCTTCACTCAGACCTGATTGTTTCCATATCAGCCTATCTAGTGTCTACGAAATTAAAATTTACCGAAGAGGATTAATGTGATAGAACAGACCCAATTCAACAACAAAGTACGGCTTTCACTTTTTTGGCCCCAGGTAATGCATTTAAACTTCTGCCAAGTTTATATTCATTATTATTTCCTCACTACTGGTAGGAGATCATCTTACACATAATCTAACTCAATATCGCATTGTAGTCTCAACTTCAACGGCGAGCCGACGCCATTCAAAGAAAGAAACCATTGTTTTATGATGACCTTATTTAGCATTTTTTTATCTTTGCATGTGACCCAATCCCCCCTGATGCATCTGAAGCGAGTCTCAGTTATATACTTGCCAATTCAGGACCACTTTCGACGTTGGGATTATAGATTATCTACTTAAGTTATTTTCATACAACATAGATACAAAAAGAGTCTTATTTGGTCGCTACTTAATACAGCAGTGATTCTTTAGGTGCTATTCACATTTTTATGGAAACTAAACGGTGCCCCCTTAAAATCCTTCACAAATCCTGTAACTTTGTCGAATAAGCACTATCCGATATTTAGAATTTAATAGATTTAGTCACCGAACTGCTAACAAGTGTGGTTCCATTTTTTTTAACCTATATTAGGTCAATACTTTAAAGGCATCAACTTTCTGAACCGCTTTGTCAGATTTACAGGCCGTTTTGTTCCCTTAGGCATGGCTCCACTCGTGTTGGCCCCTTGAGCTAATTCTGGCGAGAATTATATTTTTCTTTTTTTTAATCAATTAATTTTTATTCAGCTATATAGCTGTGTCACATAACCAGTGCTACACATACATGTTGGATGACTTTTTTAACATCAGGGACACTTACACTCTGAATTTCATTTTCAAATACCACTAAGACATCTATTGGCTTACAGAAACAGTTGATCCTTTTCCGTGAGTACTCACTAATGGGTAGTGTCAAAAATTTAATTATCCAATCATGCCTTTGTTATCCATGTATACCAGCACCGCGAGAAATGCGCGAGGATTATGTGTGCATTAGCAACTTGGAGATGGGTTGTTGTTCTGTTTTGTAGGATCATTCCTATATCGTGAACTTCAACAGAGCGAGAAGTTAAGCACAGAATTTAAATCAAAAACTTCATTAAACATTAGAAGGAGTTCCCGATTGGCCTAGATCTCACACTTCTAGCCTTCTCCATTTCCCCTCACATCTTTCACGTTACATTCCCTATTCTCTGCAAAAAGCTAAAGACGAGTTCACGAATACTTCTCATTGTTGGCTGGTTTCCCGCTCAGTGCTACTGAAACCTTTGCAGAAATTATCCTGGATCGCTGCACCCTGTGGAGCCTGGGTGCATTTTTAGGTGTTAAGGTAATTCTCCGAATCTACTGTGGGTACAAGACCGGAGGAGTTGGGTTGTTTTTGTTTATTCGTGAATCCAATTGCTCCATGAAATGACACCCATCGCTGTGGGTCCCGTATCCTGTGACTTTAGGTCTTTTGAATCATATTTCAATTGCTTATGCCGACCACCACTCATGAGGTTTACCCCCACAACCCATTGCACATAAAAACTAACAGCTTTGGCTACCTGGTACTCTAAACAGACTTCCCAAAAAATCATCTTGCAAGTCCAACATGAGATGAACGATGTAGCACGGGCATCTCTCCCAGTCTACCGTACCACACCAATAGCAGCACTTCTACGTGAAGCTGACTGGGGCCCAGCCTAGACGTGGCTCTCCCAAATTTACAGTCATCTAGCGGTTCGAATCGCTGCAGCTGACCCGTACTACCCTCTTCGAAGACGATGGAACACTTGTCGCATGTGCTGGATCCGTCAAAGAATCTCGCCAGAACTTCCCGAGGACATCATCCCTCCACCGTGGTCGGCACCCCGTGAGTGTGAAAGGACGAGAATCACGGACGCTGCACGCAATGGCTGCCACAAAATAATCTATATTTTCTATGAAGAGAACACTTCAGTGGGACAGAGCCAATGTGAGGTTTGTGCTGATGACTACCTTAAATAAGCGCTTACTAAGCGTCTAACCTGTTGCAATAGACAGACCCATTTGACACATCCCACTTACATTCAAGGCTGGGCCCTTAAGTCAGCCCAGCCAACTAACACCGAGTAAAACCCGTAACAGTGAGGAAAAGCTTACCGAAATTGTGGCAGTAGGCAGACTCTCTGGATCAAATTCCTTCAAACAGTGGCAGGCTACTCGACCCATTCTAGACTTATTCGTATTTTCAGATGGAGCTCTCATAGCAGACCGAGCAGGCGCGGGGTATGTCATCTATCGAGGTCTTACGCAGGAGATTGGGCGAGGATCACTCCCTCTAGGAAACTCGGCAGAGGTCTATGATGCTGAAATTGCCGGGGCCACGGAAGTCTTTACTGCAGCACTCCTCAACCCACTGGCTTTCTATGCCTCTAACTTCACCGTTTGCCTTGACAACCAGGAGACCGCCATCCGTCTTCTCTCTGATGTTCCCACAGCGTCTAGCTCAGCGAAAATCTTTCTCTTTCGCAAGCTTGCAGCAAACTAGAAAAGAAGGTCACGCGGCCAAAACACAACGCCTTGTGAAGTGGTTATCCGATGGTGCCCGGGACACGCAGGTATTCTGAAAAACGAAGCAGCCGACGCGCTTGCCAAAGCCGCTTGTGCGGCTCCAGCTCTATGCTCGGTATTCTCTATTGCGAGGGCAAGAAGGGAATTCAAAGCCCAGTACGAGGCTTCTGTTGTACTTTACTGGGCGGAAAATTCTCCATCTAGATATAAAGAATTAGGAATTGGTCTTAATACTAAGATTACTGCCGAGCTCGCCTGTCTAGGGCGACGCACACTAGGATATCTATTAGCTGCACGGTCTAGACATGGCGATTTCGCAGGCTACCACCGACGTTTTCAGCACGAAAACGCTATTCTAACCAGTTCGTATGCACAGCAGAAACACACCAACCATTTCTTCTTCTGCTATGTTGGGTAGTACCAGAATAGGCTGAAGAGGACCCAAAATTTTACTTCCAACATATCTTGGGCTCTTGCTTCAGTTGAGAAAATTCACGCCTTCAATAGCTGGGCGCGTACCACAGGCTTCTATGTAGAGACACGACAGCAAGTTTGACGAGACTTATACCATTGAATATGAGGCTAGAAAGCCTCCGACTGGCATTGATGCGTTCTCTTTTTTTCCTTTCTTCAATTTTCCTGTAATTACCATCTGTGAATCATGGGGGCCAGCAAGAGGCTGACATTCATATATATTTGAATCTTTGAGCTAAGGATGATTAGACCCTGGCCTAGTATTGCAATGTTGGGTCGGTGTAGGTGCCAACACGTCGGGTAGTTTTATTTAGACCTGGCTTTCCGGTACGAGAAGAACTCACGAGCTGTGCACGGGCAAGACAATTAATAATATAAACAAATAAAGATTTTGGCTAAGGTCATGTCAACTATAACAACCGACGAAGCTGCTGACAAAAAACCCAACTCACATCACATCAATTTAGAAACTTTACACAACTAGTGAAACTCTACTTTCCGCAGATCTTAGAAAGGAAATCCACCATATGTCACGGACTGACTGATGTTGAGATGGTATCCTGCCAACCTCTGGCTCTAAGACTATGTTGCTACTGCTATGTCATGGATAGATTCATGGTGTTGAGGTAGAGTCTGATCCTAGCTTCAGCTGGTATCCCTCTAGACAAGTTCTAGTTACTTCGATGGCGTTCTAAGCTATTCTAGCAATTAGTTTCTAGATATTTCGGGATGGTATTTTGTACTCTTACCAGTTCACTGAGCTTCGATCAGATTCTAGGTCACTCTCAGGAGTTCGACAGGAATCGGGCTGGAACTAGATTACTGTAGTCTATAGCAGATAGTATCGAAGTATAAGTAGCTGAGGTATCTTCATGTAGAAGGCTCTCCAGCTTTCAGTCTTGTATTATTCCTTAGTTATTCAAGAATCAAGAATCAAGAACCTAGACTTTTGTTAATATATCATCTTCACCATCAAGAATCCAAGATCTCACGCCTACCTTTCTCAAGTTAAGTGACCAAGTCCCAGAGAACCTGACACCATATGGTAGTCTCCTCTAGCCGGCATCGCTCTGCGGAGGTTATTGAGATAGCCCACTCACCCGCTCGGACCCCGAAGCTCTCCAACCCTCATGCTCTACCAATCTTCTTGATTATGAAGACTATCAAACTTGCTCTAGAACCATGAAATGCATCCAGAACTCGCGGGCCGATAGTGCTTAGGCCGCAACAGACCGTGCTATGGAGGATAAAGCTCTATTCAACTCTTCAGCAGTTGTCATTGACCAACACTGCACCAGAATTTCTCAAGGAAATCTCCCCTCTAAACAAGTGCGCGACCTTCATTCCTACATCACAGAACTCGCACTCGTGGTATCCAAGCATTTCAACACCTATGCAAAAGGGGCAGCACCATCAAATTTCAAGCTCTCTGTCTCAGAGTCAGGTAGTCTAAAACTTCAAACACTCGTGCGAGCGTCTCAGACAGCAAGCGTTCAAATTCCACTGAATAATAATGAGGGTCCGATGGCAAGGA